GAGCTTAGCTTATTGGAAATAAGGGTAGAGGTGGTCAGTGAAGTAGGGATGAAGAAGAAACCATGTGAAACAGCCCGAAATCAGAGAAATGGGATCCATTCGTTGCCGGTTCATTTTCGTGTTGATTGATGTGACTCTCATCGTGCCCTCTTCAATGCTAATTTTCTCTCTCTGCGATGTCGGTGGGCGTTCCGGGCCATTCCGTCAAATGATCATGCCAGATCGCCGGGGGCAAATTTTCGATGCGAACTGCGTGTTGGTCCGCACCGGCTCCACGGGAAAAGCTCACCGGTGCGCGGACGAGTTGCGTGTGTGAGGTCACAGCGGCGGCGAGGGAGTGAGCGAGGACGAGGTAGCTCTGCCACATTACTTAATACATGAAGTACTCCAGGATACTATCGTGCTTTTGAATGAGTAGAAGTGAGAAGGAGTCCAGCTCTAGGAATGGAGTTAGTTTGTTGAACTTCAGCGTGACTGTGTACTCCTTGGATTTGCACGTGAAAGCCTCGACTTCCTCCACATTTTTGAAAAACTCTGATTCCTATTGCGAAGGATGGTACCTGTACATAACACAAACATTTCGCTCGCGGCACAGCTAAATGAACAAGTTGGTTCAGTGCCAAAGACCCAGCACTATTTGGGGGAAGTGGCGGCGTCGTTGGCAGAGTCAACCCTGCGTTGCGCAGTTCGCAACGGCACGTTGAGAGATCCTCAACGCACGCTGTATGGGCGGAGACACAGACGGCTCGAGCATGCGAGTGTGAATGTTCGCGCGAGAGAACGTGTCTAATCGGGCGAAACTGCGCAACGTGGCCGTTGAGAACTGCGCAACGCAGGGTTGACTCTGGTCGTTGGTCACCACTTGCCTTTCCTTGGAGCCTGCCGTCATTTTGCTTGCAACGTCATTTTGACGTTACTAGCACGCGCTTGCATCGCTCTGCGTCGCCGATGAGCTTTTCTCTCCCCCGTCCGCACCTTTAGAAGCTCCATCTGTTCCTCCCCTAGGTAAGTTCACATTCTTTCATTTCGACCCTCGTTTTCATAGTGGAATCCTCCCTTAAATCGTGATGCCAAGGTGGTACGTGCTCTGCGCTTCCTCGCGCAAAAGCCACATTTTGTCCAGAAATACCGGATTTTGCCTCTACTCTTTTCAATGTTGCACAAAGTACTATTAGGTTACTCGGAAAGACCTTACGAGGAAGGTCTTTCAGGAAATGCCAAGCTTTCTCAAAACGGTCTTTTGCATGATATAGGGGTACATGCATGGAACACAGAACTATAGTTCATTTTTCCTGAGCGGCCCTCTGAATACCAAAAAAGGGGTTATGAAGTGGTCCGTGGTTCGAATCCTCACAGTGACAATTTTTTGCATTTTCTGTTGGCGTTCCAAAGTTTACGAAAAAGGGTGTCAGCGTGAATAGCAGATGTCATATCTATAATTAGGAGCAACAGCAACCTTCATACGTAGATTTTGACTAAAAAAACTGGTGGAGAAAGTTGCGACACCAAAACGGCGCCGTTGTAGCGCCCAATGGCGTCATAGCGAATTCAAATGACGTTTACGCTAAAAACTAATAGAATATTCGTAATCAGGACGCCGAATAACCCCTAGCCAAAAGTTTCAGGGAAAATTAAGATTTCGTCCTAACTTCGAACAGTTGGACCATGGGTCAGTAGCCCGTCAGGCTCATTTGGTAGAAACAATTTGGAGGCGACCTTCTTGTCCTTTCTTACGGAATGAGAATCCTTCCCCGTAATAGACAATGGTAGACACTCAAGCGATGGGTGAGAAGACACCAATGACTATGTCATTAGGTTCTCCTCCTTGTCAAACAGTGGCAGGATGGGCTTCTGGTCATACTTCTGGCTGGGTCTACTGCCGATAGCTAGATCAGCTGCAAAAAACGCAACGTTGTGTGAGACTTGCCCTGCGAGGGAGAACCTCGGTTCCGTGGTAATCACTAGGACGGACCCCTCCTATTCCACGTTAGCCCTTCTCCAAGCCTTCCGGGGGCAATTTGTTTATGAGTTATATAAATTTCTACCGATGCACACACAAGTTCGTGAGAGACCAATACGAATTCGCAGTCGTAGGATCTCAAAACGAACATAAAACCGCATTATATGCATGCGCAGGAGTGCACGATCACAGGAAATGACAATAGAGAAAAAGCAAACTTTGGCACTGTGGGGAGTCGAACCATCAACAACGCCCCTTCCACTTCCGATTCACACCAACCGTCGACCGCACCACTAACCACTAGGCCATCCGACTGCCGCTGATAGCCTAGGCTTCAGACGGCGCTGATGAATGTTCCACAATAGTTTCAATACATGCCAAGGAGATCGTTTTATTTTTGACCGAATTCCGCATTGTTTTCAATGTACAATTCATGAGAACCTTTTGATATGACACTGGTCAACGCTGTGTGCGATGTACGTCACAACAAAGCGGTTAGAACGGCAGTTCCTTAAAGGAATCTTCCACGGACCATGGACCAGTGGGCGGGACCGGAAGTGGTTTTGCGACGAAATGCATGGTAGGTACGGATCCACGTTCATGGGAAGGTTTGAAGTGAATCCTGTTCACGTTCGTGCGTTCGACACGTGGATCCGTACCTACCATGCATTTCGTCACAAAAACTTCCGGTCCCGCCCACTGGTCCATGGTCCGTGGAAGATTCCTTTAAGAATTTTTTCTTCGCTCCTTTTTTGGTATTCAGAGGGCCGTTCAGGAAAAATGAACTACAGTTCTGTGTTCCATGCATGTGCCCCTATATCATGCAAAAAACCGTTTTGAAAAAGCTTGGCATTTCCTGAAAGACCTCCCTGGTTAGGAAAGGAAATAATTCCCGTCAACCAGTCCGGTGTCGAACGTACAAATTTTCACGAAGATGCATTTTTCAAGAAGAAATAAACTCACGAAAGCCGTCCACGGACGGTCGAGGGTAAGTCGAAAAAAACCAAAAAGATTTCTTAGCAGGCACTCCGATAGGCTAGTGGAATCGTTTCCGTCGCCAACATTTGTAACAAATACACGGCGGGAATTCAAATGCGTAACAGTCCTTCGGGTTCTTCGGCTGTTCACGAGAACAAATATAAGTTTTTTGAACTCTACGGTCTCACCGTGAATGGTGGGTCTCAAGCCAGTAATTTGTGGGTCAGATAGAAAAGTGACTTTCAGTATACGATTCCTTTAAATTTTGGTCCCTTATTACCGCGTTGACGTTATCAGCTAATGTTTGCCACGAGCCGTTGCATGAGTGGATCCCATTGAAACATACTTATAACTCTAAAAGTATTGACCACATTGTGTGACAAGAAGGATTGATCAGTAGTAAATTTGCAATCACTGGATAAAGTTGTTGTCGATCCTTGAGCGTATTTCAGAACGAGGCCATGACTGGAGTTACAACCCAAGTGTACGCTATATCTCGCATTACTCTAGCCCTGTTCGAAGATTCCGGATGGTATCAGGTGAACTACAAGTAAGTTAGTCCGTCTCCATTTCAGCGGGCATTTGAATTCTGCCTCTCTGTCCTGCAGCTGAGCTGAGTGGTATACGGTACTCCTTCAGTCCCCCCTTAGCACGTGCTATTTAAGATGGCTATCGATTTTACGCATGTTCTTACGATTCATCTTTCACGCTTGTTACGTACAGAGCGGGATTTTTACAGCCATCAGAGAAAACAATTATTAAAAAAGACAGCGAGACGGAAGAAGGGATCCACTGTTTAACGTGGAGTGGGTGATTGCCTGCACAATTCATTCAATTTGTTTAGCAAAGCCGAGAACATGACGTGGGGAAAAGGGCTTGGATGTGATTTCGTGAAAAGGAGCTGTTTGTCGTGGATGAAGAGTAAAAATGGACCGTATCCCTTCTGCACGCAGGAGGGTGACATGACGTGAGTTACATCACTAAAACTGAGCACATCGATTGCCCAACTTTGGGTGGTCATTTGAGCCATGACGTATGCGCATCTGCGGCATCCTTCTGCAGTTCCTCTTCAGATGCAATGCGAATCGCAAATCAAAGGTTTACTGCAATTTTATCGAGGGAATGACTAGCCCATCTCTGTTTGATTACAACATACCAGGTCTTTATACAAATAGCAAAGGAAAAGCGACACAAGGCGCCGGTGGTGAAATTACTGCCGACTACTGCCCATATTATAGGGTGGGTTTTTCTTTTTGAAAATAATGCAAGATTGATGAGTGAACATATCGACCAAAAGCATCATATTGAAGGAGAAATTCACGATTAGAATGAAGGTCGAAGAAGGAGTAATTCACCTAGTTGAGGGACCCGCGGACCTCCTGAGGGTGCGGACTGACGCGCAATGGCACTGAAAGAGTTGACCTCGGCGGCACAGCTATGGGAGTCGCATCAATGCTCAAATCAACGGGCAAGGAAGGGGTCCCATTTCTCGGGTTCTGGGCCGTTTCTCATGGTTCTTCCTTCTTTCGTGTACCACTCACCATCCTTAACTTAAAAAATTTTAAAAAAGGTTACTTTTAAATGGGTTGTTTTTCAACGTGAATTCGTCATTAAGGTGTTCGGTGAGATTTACGTCGAAGCAACGGACACGCGCTGCACTTACCCCGGAAATATGCACTATAACAATTTTTCGCTCGAGGTGGGCGAATAGTTGCAAAATGTCAATGACTTATACCTGAAGTACTTCAAATTCTTCTAGGTATTTTCAACATCTGCTCGTTGTTTCGAGCTCCAAAGCAAAATCAAGATCAAGAAAAAGCTCTTCACCACAACATACTTCCTTGTATGCTGGCTGCTATGAGGTACATTCACATATTCTTCTAAAACTGTTTGTGAGCAAATATAACGTTCCATTTGTACAACGTATAACGAGAATTCAAAAAAAGACCGCGAAAAAGCCAGTTTTGTGTAACCATAAGTCATCCATTTCTCAACTCAGTGGGTAGCCTAGTGTCCCTTACTGTTACCAACAACGACGCGAACATCGGTTAGCTAACCACATGCCTTTGTCTCAATGCCTTTGTCTCAGTTCCTGATATGCATTCAGTTTTCTTCAGACTTCTACGTGTCCTCACATGTGTGGCGCATCCTTTAACGACTCCCCATCTTCAACCCTTATGACCGTTCTCATTTAAGGTAAAAGGATAAAGGATAAAGCATTTGCCGTTGATCAATCCCTTTTGGGATGCGGCACGCATTCTACTTCCATTTGTACATTCGTAGTGGCGTTTGAATGCGATGTGGCCTATACAATGACTTGCGGGGGCCAGCCGATGTACAAGTCAGTGTTTTTATCCTCCCAGACAAGTCTGGTACCAATTAACCGACCCCGGAGGGATGGAAGGCTTGGTTGGCCCACTTGCCGCTACACGCCCCGTCCTTCATTTAAAGTAGACGCTTCTAATTCGCTGTCAAATGCATTGCTTAACAGATTTTGCCGTCGGCCTCACATGTTCGGGTCTTCCAGGGCAAGCCGCACTTTTTCATAACGGTTTCTAGCATATCGTATAGTCGTTTGTAAAGACCACAGAAGACGTTTTCGCTTAGCAGTTCTAGTAGTACCAAAAAGTAGTGGACGATAATTTTTACGCACCGCCAATGGACTTGAACCATGTAATGTAGCGTCTCATGAGCGCGACGTTTGCCACTGCACCACAAACCATTGCTGATCCTTGAAAGAATTGTAGAGCGCAAGGTAGTAACCTATGAGGGTTCAGAAAGTTATCCATATTATAGGATAGCTCGCAGCGGCTGTCTCGCCACCAATAATCTCAATACCTAACAGGAACTCCTCATCTTAACTTCGCTGCGCTCCCACAAAAACAATAGCTAGGGCAGAGACGCAGAGGGTCGTGCTGACGGCCACTGAAACTGTGCTCCGGAGCAGATTTTAGTGGCCGTACACCTCTGCTTCCCCATAGTCCCATAGTCTTCTCCCTCTCTAGGCCGTTAATGGTCTAGGCCACCTGAATGACCGGCCACCAAGGAGTGGGGCGAAGACCTCGCCTACTCTCTGAGATCAACGCCATCTTCCCTGCTTTCCTACGATTTCAAAGCGCAGACTAATGCGTGGTCAACGTGACATCTTGGCCAACTATCGACTGGCCGTTTAGATCGCTTCACTACATCCCTGATTTTGACATTTAGGGCAATTTAACACCAATCCGAGGCTTCAACTTAAATTGCAGAATTCACTTGCCGCACGGGAGCGAACCATCAAAATTGTCTTTCACACTTTTTTGGTACTACTAAAACCGTTCAGCGAAAACGAAACATGGTTTTGTGGTCCATACATGCGTCCCTACAATATGCAAGAGAACCGTTTTGAAAAGCGCATTTTGCCCTGAGAAGGGGACCCTTGTTAGTTCTGTTAGCTTATTAGATTTTATTTTGGGAACGCACCTTCGCTTTATTAACCAGAGAAGTGTTTCAAGTTCCCATGGCACTTTGAGGTGAGACCCAGGTATATCGATAGAGCTTGGGATGATGGTTACAAATGTGAAAACCAAAACTGCTACGTGAGCCGTCAAAGAAGTTGTTAGCTATCAGAACGGCCCAAGTTCGACTTCCACCTGACATCATTTTGCATTCGGCAAGTTCGCGTGGCAGTTTTGCTTTTCATATTTGTAACCAGCATTCTAGGCTCTGTCGACTTGCCTAGGTCTCTAATCGAAGTTCTATGGGAACTTAAGAAACACTTTCCTGGTAAGACGCTGGTGAACCCTGCAGATGCGGAGGACTGAGTTTCTCCACAAAACATATGAGCTCAATTTCAGACTGTATGCAGAGATGGTCGCATTCACATCAAAGTACAGAACTCAAAATTCTATCCTTGCTATTTCCCAGGCCAGCTCATTCACATAGAGAAGGTGAGACTGTATGCGAGTTGGATCGCATGGAAGTATGAAACCTCGTGGAGAAATGGAGCTTAACACACTTCTATAGTGGTCACGAGTGTCTATAGTGTCTACTGTTCTTATTCTTTCCTACGCTTTTGCACTCTGGACTCCCTCAAATTTGTTCACTATGCTGACGGAGAATTCTTGACAACCTCTAAACCCGGTCTAAATTTGGGTCAATACTAAGCATGGAAAGAAAACTCATGGCTTTCCGGCACCATTCGGGTTCGCGAGAATGAGACTAAGGGTAGAGTATCAAAGTCAACTGCTCTCTCTGTGTGTTAACGTTTCCAGACTTCCTTCCCCTCATGAAGAAGTTGGACACTCTCCTTCCCACTCCCCCATACCGACCCTTTTACTTTTCTGTCCTTCCTTCTCTCTGTCCGAAGCCTTACCTTTTCCACTGCAGTACGGTCACGTAAGACCCGAATTGTCTTATTAGTGTCTACTGCTAATTATCTTCCTACGCCTTTCCATCTTCTGCGCGACATCCTCAAATTTGTTAACACTATGCTGACGACGAAATTTTTGAAAAAACAAATCTAAACCGGTTAAATTATAAGAACAACTCTAAAAACCGGTTAAAATTTTGAACAAGGTCCAATAACTAAAAGCAATGGAAAGAAAACTCATAAGAGAACTCTTTTGGCATTGCATGCGAAAGAAAAACCTCATGCCCCAACACGGCCCCCAACTGTCAACACCACGACCTCCCTCCGCCCTTCTTTTCCCTCACAATTATTGTTGCTATGGTATTTGATTCTGTCACAATAGGGCACACCCCAACGTTACAAGCGGGACCCCTCAATATTGCGTTGAGTGGGCTGTGGTGGGTGGAGTGAGATAGATAGGTGGAGGGTATGAAGGACGGTATACTTGTATCACCTGTCGTTGATAATCGATTTGCTCAAACGGGAGCCAGAAATGTCTACTTCGCTCCTGCTGCGTAGAAGGTAGTCCAAAGGACCCTCCTCGCTTGAACATGTTGTCATTCATCCTTTTATTCAGCGTTTTCGTGGAGAAGTCCGGAAGTCAGACCGGCCGTCGTTCAGGTGCTCTTTTGACGTCTCGAAGTGTCGTGGTTCGGGAGCGGTCGCCCTCCTAACCCTCCAACACGACGCATCGAGGTGGTTCGGGGCCCTCGTGGCCTTTCCCAGGCACACGTCATCCTACGGGTCCTTCCCGGGGACCATGCTGGTTTCCCTCCCAGCATGGCCTCCGCTCCCCGGGGCATCACGGGTTCCTAACCCAGGAAGGGGGTTTCAGGATAACAACCTGGAGGCCAAGGCCCACCCTTGGCCCCTAGTAACTACGCCTCTGTCGGACCCAAGCCCTGGCGCCCTCCTTCCCTATACAAAATCCCTATACAATGACTACCCATCAAACATGTACGTTTATTGGCGTCTATGGCGGCAATGAACTCGATGTCCTACTCCATCACCATCCGCCAGGCTTGGAGACGACAGGGGGGATGGACGATGGGCTACTGGAACAACGACGCGATGACTTGGGGCCAAGCCATCGCGTCGTTGTCCCAGTAGCCCATTGTCCATCGTGAGGCACCCTGCCGACAGCGTCCATCGGGTATAGCGGACGCTGACGTATCAGCGCTCCGATCGGATGCCTGACCATGCTGCCGAGTGGACAAGGCACCCCAAACCGTTCGGCTTCACATCACCCCTCCCGGAAG